CACACACACACACACACACACACCAGGTGAGTCCCACACACACACACACACACCAGGTGAGTCCCACACACACACACACACACCAGGTGAGTCCCAACCAGTAAGACCAGAGTCCTGATGGATCTGGAGCCTTGAGGTCTATGTGACATGAACCAGGTCATCTGACACCAACATCCCACGGCCCCCCTGATCTCTGTCCAGCATGACTCACACAGAGGTGGAGATAAATCATTGTTTGTGTAGATTCCAGTCACACAGAGTCTTTAAGGGGACCCAGAGAGGACTCGTCCATGTTGGATCAAACTGTGTCTGGTCACTGTGCGAGCTGCTGGGCTCATGTCGGAGCAGCAGAGACAGATAAATCCGTAAGTGAATAAACGTCTGTCCTCTGTGTCTGTGTGTGTGTGTGTACAGGTTGGAGGAAGCAGCCGTCCTCACATATTCTCCAGCTGTTCATCCCGTCATCATCGCCGTGTGCTGTTTCCTCATCATCGTGGCCATGGTGGGATACTGCGGCACGCTCAGATGCAACCTGCTGCTGCTGTCCTGGGTACGTCTTCATCTTGTTATCTGTATGGCCAATCAGCTGAGAGATGACCCACTGTCAGTCACCGTGTTTCTGTCCGTAAACTGAACCTCAGTGACTTTATGTCAATCACACAGCTGTACATTAAGGATGTGACGTCATTCGTGGGGCGCTAATACAATTTGATATGAACTGCTCTATGAAGGTGTGTTGGCAGGATAAATGTACATGTCCATTAGTTTTCCTCCTTGCAGTTACATTTGTGCGTACGTTTTTGTTTTATTCACAAATGTACGATAAATGATGAACACAAATCTGAGACAGTCGATCTCCTGTTCACGAACAAACACAAAGTGTTGGAGAAAACCTGTCATAATCATTCCTGACAAAAATCACTCATCACATTTTATCTGACAGAAGGGCCCAGTTTGAGGCGGAGTAGAGGAGTAATCAGATTACTAATGACTGTAAACAGTAACCAGGTAACAGCAGAGCAGGTAAACACGTCCACCTGTGTCTCACCTGGTTCCTCCTGTCACCTGTTCAAGAGATGAAAGGAGCTGCAGGTGAACTCTGAACACAGGTCGGTCTGTCTCTGCTCCGCTCAGTGAGACGCATCACCTGTCTGCTGTCACCTGGGGGGGCGGGGCCAGGTGTCAGGTGTCTCCATTGTCCCCCAGAGAAGAGATAAGATTGTCCCTGAAAGACGAGACGATGGGAGACAGAGAGCAGCTTCAGTCTGTTGAGCTATTGCAAGAGGCAGAGACAGGAAGTGAACCCACTGTCCCTCAGTCACTGCGGAGACACCCAGGAGACGACATCACCCACTGTCCCTCAGTCACTGCGGAGACACCCAGGAGACGACATCACCCACTGTCCCTCAGTCACTGC